ACATCTGTGAAACTGTTACGTCCTGGTACTGTTTTGACAAACACTTCACAAGCATTTTCTATATGACTGTTCATGTTATGACAAAGCATGGAGGTGATTATGTTTAACCAAATTATCACTTTTTTTTTAAAAAAAAAAAAGACGTGTCTGATCTGCACAGTGAGACCCTGTAAATGGGAGAAAAATAAAAAAGGACATATTTATTTTATTTGTTGTGAAATTTATGATTAATTAAATGTCTTGATTTGGTGCTCTTTAAGGAAGTGTTCTCTGGTGGAACAACAACAAAAAAAATGAGCTTGATTACTATCAACATTTCCAGTTTAAGTATGGACAGCTTCCTCCTACTCTTCTTCTTCCTACTCCTCTTCTTAGTCTCCTTTCTTTCCTTGTCTTTAGTTACATTTTTTTGTTGTTGAGACAAAACACAGAAAGTTAAAAGAGGAAAGGTTTATTTTCGCTCGTGTTTTGTAGAGGTGTTAATATGTGCCCAGGGTCCAGTGAGATAGCTCAGCAGACTGAGTGCTTGCTTTGTCAAGGTACGTTGGGGCTCGATCCTTGTCACCACATGCCACATGGGTCTTGCCCTCGGGCACACTGAGCGGGCCACTGAGTCCAGGTGTGGTGGCAGACACCTGTAATTCCAGCGCTCTGGAGGCTAAAAACAGGAGGATTACCACGAGTCCGAGCCGCGTAGTGAGACCCTGTACCAAATACATTAAAAAATAATAATAATGATAATCCATAGTCATCTGGTTCCAACTTAGGTCAGCATGGCAGAGAAACCTGGTAGCGGAGAAACATTCCATGGCAGGGCAGAAAGTAGCCGGAGCGAGGCTTCCTTTCTCTTGTATTCCATTCAGGTTACTAACCTGTTTATTAGTTGGTGCAGCCTGTGCTCAGGTGGACCTTCTGTAACATGCTAACCCAATCAGTGGGCTAGTTTAGTTACTACATAGCTTTAATCCATATTCATGCATCCTAGAGGAAGTCACCTTCAAAATGCCCCACCTGTGAGGTCATGAAGCTTTGAGGGGACACCTGCATACAGGCCATAACCCTCCCTCTCTCTTTTCTTTTTTCCTCCTCTTCTCCCTCTCCATTTTATTTGCTCCTTCTCAAGGATGAGGCAACAGGACCAAGTAGGACATTGCTGCAGTAATTTAATCAAGCAAGTTGAAAGTCTGGCTTTCTGGAGTAGTGTTAAGCATAGATTGTCATTTACATTATTATCTTCAAGCACATAGGCTGAAAAGGTTTCCATGATTCCATAATTTCACAATATTTCAACTGCTTTTAGTGTTTTGAGATTACGACTTTTCTTAGATTCACTATTTTCTTTGTAACTTGTCCTCTTTGATACATGTCTAACTTCAAAAATCATCACATGCTTCACTTATGTGCTCCTATTTTTGGAAACTATTTGGCATCTATTACATTTTTTTTAAAAAAGTAACACTTATGAGGAATTGGGAATGTAGTTCAGTAGTAGGGTGTATACTTTTCCTGTCTGTATTGAATCCTAAGATTCTCCTTAAAAGAGAAACAGAAACAGCTTGCATTATTACCCAGATCTAGTCATTGCTGTCATTTCACTGTTTCAGCTTTTAATAGGTATAGAAATAATTGTGCTTTTTGAGTTCATGTGCCAGAATACTACAATGCAATGTGTATAATTAATGCATGTTAATCAAACAAGCAAAAGAAGTAACTATGATGAATACCTGCTTTGGCAAGTGCACCTGTTTTGGCAAAGCCACCCTGGCCTGCCCCCAGGGTGCACTGAGCCGGTGATCGAGTCCAGGTGTGGTGGCGCATGCCTGTAATCCCAGTGTGGGGGAGGCTGAAAACAGTAGGATCATCACGATTCCCGGCTGTGTAGTGAGACGCTGTACCAAATACATAAAATAAAGGCGAAAGATTTATGCACTCTGAAGAGAAACCAGAGTCAAATACATGAAAGAAAGAAAGAATAATGATGAGGTATCTATCCATAAATATTTACTTTCTTGTTTAAATAAGTCAGTACACTTACACAAAATTTGTATTTTATGAAATATTTAAAGTTTCAAACTGTTTTTAAAAAGAATTCTAAAATGGGCAAAATAAATTTATAGAAATACTCTTCTTATACAGATAAACTAGTTTCATTTAAGCAAATTTTGTTAGCTTTTACCCACTATAATAAAATAAGTGAAATAATTTTTTTCAGAAAAGCTTTTATTTCAAAAATAAATCATTTTGTCCCACATCACAAAATATTTCACCATGTTTTACAAAAAGCAAAATTAAGAAAACTTAAATACAGCAATGTTTATGACCAATTCCTTTAAAACTTTATAACTGAAGTTAACCCAATCGTCATTAAAAGGAAAAACTCGTGAAAAATATGAAAAGGGAAAAAATCCTCCAGTCATCCACACAGAAGAGAAACACAAAGATTACCTGCTGCATTTACCTGATCCCCATTCTATATCTGTACTGCTTAGAAAAATAACTGCTCTTTTCAAACATAGGGTTTAGAATCTGCCTCAGAAAGTACACGCCTGGATGTAGCCCTAGAATATGCCCCGTACCTAATCATCGCTCCTCTGAGGCCCCTTCCGCTTCCTCTTTGTCTTTCTCTTCTTCATCTTCATCTTCCAAATCCTCACCTATAGGAAAGGCTCTGAGGATGGTAGCTCTAAGCCTGATCAAAAACTGTACTACATCCATCTTGCTGGTTTCCTCTAAGGCCCTTGGACCCCACAGCAGCTCGTACTGAAAAGGATTGCTGTTGGGCACCTCTATGCAAGTGATGTACCATTCCTGCACCAAATCCTCGGTGAGGAATTCCCGGGGCTCTCCATAGATGACATGTTCCTTTCCAGGATACACCCCTAACTCAGCCAGCACTTTCCAGACTACCTCCTCCTTGACACGGTCATCATGAGCTTGGATGATCCCCAGGATAAGTATCATAAAAATGATCCTGGGGTACCCCTTGTTATTGCTCCGCATCCCATCATATGTGAGGCCCAGGACAGGGACCAGAAAATAGAAGGGGCTAGAAGGTCGCAATTTCTTTACCTCAATGCCAAAGACCATCTCCATACACTGAGAGGCCTCCTTAAAGATCACAGGGAAATACTCCTCATAATCTCCAGTGACTACTGCCTCCATTTCTAACATGGTGGTTGGCTCCTCCCTTAGATACTTCAAGGCCAGGAACTGCAGTAATGCAGCCAGCCTGGCATCCACACCATCACTATCCAAGGAGTCAGTGTCTGACTCGCTCTCTGAGGGGAATAAATAGTCCCACTGTTCACTGCTGGAGATCTCAACGAAGTGATTCAAGGAGCTGTTGACCCTGGGGGACAGGAGTGAGGAGCTTCCCTCAGGACACTGAGGAGGATCCAGCATTCCAGCAGCAGAAACCTCTTCTACAGCATTTTGGTCTTCAGGGGCTTCCTCAAGCTGGCAAGGCTTTGGAGATCCAGACATGACAGCTGTAGCATGTGACCCCAGGCAGGAACTCGGCGACTGGGGCTCAGAGACCTTGACTGCTGATGGGTCCTGGCATTGTTCCTCTGCTGATGAAGCGAGGCTTTGCTGGTTTTGTGACCCACTGCTCAGCGAGCTGAGATCTCCCTGAGACTCCATCTCAGAATCCAAGGACATCATCTCCGTTTGACCACAAAGGTAGAGGCTGGTGATGCATGTAGGTTGTGGGTGTCCATTTCTCTCAGTATTGTCTCTGGCCACCCCGGCCTGACAGCAGGCACAGTTTCCCATATCTTGGATCTGTTTAACTTCTCTGCTTGCCTCGCCAACTGCACACCGCTCCGAAGAGACTTTCACATCTTCGTGACCTCACCTGAAATAATTAACTTATAAAGAAAAGTATTATTTTGGCTCCTGGTTTTAGAGGTTTCAGTGCATAAATGGGAAGATCTATCGCATGTAGTCCTCTTATGGGGTGCTGGGTAGGACATGTGATGGAGCAAGGAGCTTATCTCCTGCCTGGGAAGAAGCCAGTGGAGACAGAGTGGCCTGAGTCCCACGGTCCGTTTTAGAGCCATCGCTGCACTTGATCTAAGATGTTCTCGAGAGTCCCTGTCTTTTGAAAGTTCCACTACCACGCAACAGCACTATCCCAGGAATCAAACACCAACCACCCTCTGACACACATTTGTCATCAGAAAGATAATTCTTGACCATAGCAATGTTGAAATTAGATTTTTTTTCTTCTCTTTTCTTTTTTGTTTCTTTTCATTCTGAATGTTTTACGTTGATACAAAAAACCCAATTTCTAAAAAGCTCTAAAATAGCAGGTTGACTTGATATATTATTACTTTCGTATTACTACAAAGTGCCCTTATCCTCTGTGAATGACCTTAATTCTAATTAATTTGAGTATTTCTAGTTATTAGTTAATATTTTCTTCTTGAAATTTCCACATCAAGATTAATTAACCATCTTTAATTGAAGTTTTTCTAGTCATTGCAGTTTTATCACGATCCTAGGAAACTAATGAGAATAATTAAAAACTGTTGCAAATGACATTTGTATCTATATTTAAAATGTTCTTCAATTGATCAAGCAGATGTTTTTACAGATTTTTGTCTTTGCTATAATAAATTTCCTATTAATTTTGAAAATCTGTGTGTAAGGAATGTGCTTTCAAGTTTCACATAGCTGAGCTGCAATTTGCGAAAGTTCAAGCAGCTGTACCAACAACTGTTTGATACATTTGTAACTAAGGCTCTTAGAGGGAGACATTGAGTTCTAGAGTTTTATGTTCTGCATTTTATGTTCAGACATGTGTACTTACTTTTCTTCTCTTTTGTGGATTTGGAATGTATGTTATACAGCTCCAAAGATAGAAACATATATATCTATATATATTCTCATATGTATTTTAACATTGTACAGCTAATTTAAGTTGGGAGTGAAGATACATTTTTTCTAAAAGAGACATTTTAAGTTATCATTATCTAAAGTTTTCTTTCTTTGTCTAGGTTGAAGAAATTGTGGATATTGGGTCATTTGCTCCAGAAGATATCCATATTCCTAAGATTTATGTGCACCGTCTTATAAAAGGAGACAAATATGAGAAAAGAATTGAGGTAACTGACTTGGCATTTTGGTCAGAATTTAGAGGTATGATCACCAGAGATGTGTGTCCTTGAGGCTATTCCAGATGGTGAGACTGGAGCTAGGCAGGAAGGCCTGCTTTGGACCTTAGTAGGAGCTTCTCATGTGGCCATCATAAGGGATCATGAGTATGCTGCTGTCAGGTCCAGGGACACCTTGTGTGAACGGGGTGTGTATTTCCATATCTTGTAATTTTTTAGCCTGTGTTTGTCAGGTTTCTTTAATAGTTCTAACTTACCATGCATGGTTGAAAGAATAATCAAATCTTTGGTGGTTTTTAATGTTTAATTGCTAACAAATGCCTATCTTGAGATTGCTTTGTGCTTTTATGCAATGCATAATGAATATAACTTTAATTTGTTTTGAATTCTGGGCAGCATTTTGGTATGGCTTTGGAAAGAGTTGAGTACTGGGAGCATTAAAGATATTCCAAGGCCAGTGAGAGCATAAAGAATAGCCCAGCTGGGCCAGAATTGGTGTTAAGTGTCAAAAGTATCTAGGGATCAGCACAGAATAGACATACAGTAAGAGATACGAAGAACTGAAATACATACTACCCTGTGGACAACAAATAGGACACTCCGAAATCTAAAACTGTTGTCAGGGACCTTGGGAAAATATGGGACATTTGCAAACAGAAACCAGGAGGAAGGATATGTAGTAATGGAAATAGTTATCTGCTTGGCTTCTGGGTATTTCCGTGGACCTTGTGATGCACATGTGGCAATACCAGTCTAAATTCTTCAGGTGGAAATAGCCAATGGACAGTGGCATTGTTTTGTCAACACATTCTGACAACCCTGAGAAATAGATTTCAAAGGTCGATTCTTCTCTTTGTTCTGGCTCAATCTTTGGACAACTGAGGAGAATTCAGTTTAAGTCTTGTTAATAACAGTAGCAGTGCCAGCATGACAGTAACTGGGGGATGATTTGCTTCAAAGGAATGGAACAGGTGTAGCTTCTTCAAATAAATCTGACCTCTTCCTTAAGAATTCCTTTTTCAAACGTTATATGTTATTATCCTTATTATTTTAAAATATGGAATACTTCACAAATTTGCATGTCATCCTTGCACAGGGGTCATGCTAATCTTCTCTGTATCATTCCAATTTTAGTATATGTGCTGCTGAAGAGAGCACTATTTTTTTTTTTAGCTTTTCATTATATACTTGGGAAGCTAAAGCAGAATGATTACAAGTCTTAAGTCCTCTCCTGGGGAACTTAACTGACACTGTCTAGAAAGTTAATATAGTTAAATAAAAGGGATTGGAGATGTAGCTTAGTGACAAAGCACCCCGGGCTTCAATCCCCAGTGTCACAATAAAGGGAAAGCCTTCCCATTACACATCTGCCTCCTAGTAGTAATGAGAATTAAGTTTTTTTCAGGAAAATTTTAAAAATACAGAGCATACCTTCAACCACAAATAATTAGTTTCTATTTATTTTAAAGCGTTTATCAATCCGGAAGAAAGGTGATGAGAAAGCCAAATCTGATAAGCCTGCGGATAATGTAAGGGAACGTATCATCCGACGAGCAGCCCTTGAATTTGAGGATGGCATGTATGGTATCCTTTCCAAAGACATAACTCTTTTCCTCTGTTGATTAGGCTGCAAGGTTTCCTCAGTAGCTCTTCACCTGTAGTCCAGTTATTTTTAAAATGTGTCATGTAATCAGAGGTTGCCACAGTTTATGAAATTGAAATTTTAATAGGTTTGCCTTTTTGAAACAAAATGGCAACCTAGAATTCCTTTCCATTTTATCTAGTATATGTTGGATTTCAGGACGGTTTGGCTTTGAAGTAGAGTTATTTGGAAGACAACTTACCCATAATTCAATTTTCAAATCTCAATATTACTAGTAATAACAAGTGATGTTTATTTTCTCTATATTCTGACTTTCCATACTCATTGAAAGATAAAATTCAACTTCTTAATAAACCACTGCTTCCCTTCTTAAGGATCTTATACAGGAACATTTTTATGGCTAATTTTTTAAAGAATATTCCATGAATGACTCATATTTTGCAAAAAAAAGAGCTAGAGTAGGCACAACTTAGAACAATTAATATTTATTTATTTATTTATTTATTTATTTTATTTATTTGAGAGAGAGAGAGAGAGAGAGAGAGAGAGAGAGAGAGACAGTAGTGTGTGTGTGTGGCCAGCTCAGCCCACCAGGGGGCGGGGCTGGCTGGCATGTGGTGCTGGGGGATTGAACCGCGGTCCCTGATGCTTTGCCAAGCTTGTTCTAAGTAGGTGCCTTAGACCACTGAGCCATCTCTCCAGCCCCAGAACAATTAATATTTAGATTAAATGCATTTATTAGCGGCAAGACTTTGCCATTTTGTTAATTTTTCATACACTACAATATTGAACTGTAAAGTAAAAACATAAATAGTGTGTGATAAATAGTTGTTGAACTTGGGTACAGTAAATCCAGAAAGACCTAGGGCATGGAGAACTGGAAATGTAAGAAGTGTTTCTGTTTTGTGAACTTCCTTAGTCATTTGGAATGTGATCATGTTGGTGAAAGGTTTATTTTTTTCCTTTTTATGAACTTCCATTTCTTCCTGTTTCTTCACTTTTGAATTTATATTTTATGACTTAGTGAAAATTCCCAAAGGGCACAAGAGTTACCATGTTGCCTCTTATCTAACTCCTTCCTAGGCAAAATACACAGTGGACCTTGATTTAGGTAAAGGTCATTGCACTTTACTCTCAACCCTAAGCAGTTGACTTACTGCTGATACTCAGATTACAGAGCAGACATTTAGAAAATAATGACTTCTAGTTGTTTTTCATTCAGTATTTATATATTGCATATGAAAAATACTGACAGCTCATTTTATCTAAATTGCCTTCCATATCACCTGTTCTTTTTCAACCTAAAGTACAGTTTTTTTTCCTCTCTGAAAAGTGATATTTTTAAATATCACTTAAGTAAAGAGTATATTTTAAAACTGAGAAGATAATATCTGATGAAAGTGTTGAGATGTAAGGACAGTAATTTGGGTTGGCCTTACCTGAAAATACCTGTTGGTAATGGAATTATTATCTCAGTGTACTCTGTACATGACTGTGAGAAATGATGTGCAAATAACTACATTAGACTGTGATTTACCAAGAAGTGAACAATGTAGCTGTCATACCTTTGTAGTCTGTGTCCACAAGAAGTGACTTCAGTCATTAAGTTGTCCATCTGGCCTTTGTAGGTTTTCTTTGTAGCATATTATATGGTATCATATACATTTTTTTTTCCTGGCCCTGATTCATAGATTTCCCTGCAAGTAGAATTTATTATATTTGCATTAAGTTTGGTGAAATCTTCTGCATGTAGTGACAGTTGATAGCAATGAATAACAGTTTCAGACAGTGAAAGTGTTTCTATTTGCTCAGCCCACATTCATTGAGGAGCACAATTAAATCCACATAAAGGAATACAAATCAGGGTTGAGCCTATTTTGTTCATCTAAGAGAGTGAACCCTTGTTAGCTCTTTGATGTCTTTAATTAATTAATTATTTGTATAGAGTTTTGCTATGCAGCTCAGACTCATAGTGATCCTCCTGTCCCAGCCTCCCCAGTCCTTGGATTACAGATGTACACCACCATGCCCGGTTTTGGCAGCTGGCACAGGACACAGTTCTGGTGCCGGCCTGGCATGTCATGCTGGGGATTAAACCCTGTGTCCTTATGCTTGCCAGGCAGGCACTTAGACTGCAGTGGTATCTCCCCAGCCCAGCTCTTTAATGTCTTAGCCCAGCTACTTTTCCTATGGTCTCAATTGTCTCTTGTGAAGCATACTGGCCCCTTACCTTTGCTTAATGTCTTCAAGAAGATGAATGCTATACAGTGGCAGAAATGAATTGATACACTTTAGACAGATACTTTGCTATCGTTCAAAGACTTCAAAATTTTTATACTATCCCTTTATGGGATATTAAATCACTTGTATTTTAACAAGAGTTTTGAATTAGTGAAAGTAGATTTTAAACAGATATCAAGCCATGTTTAATGATATACCAATCATACAGCCACCTAAACTTGGTGAACACATTAAAAAAAAAATCAAGTGAGTTTTTCACTTCTGTTTGAATGACTTGTTGGGTAGCGTGAAGACATTCCTTTGCTATCCTTGTGGGAAAAGATATTATTATTGAGAAATCTGTGACTAAGTAGAGGTTTTCTTTTTGGAAGATTACAAACTAGTGCCCAAAGGGTAATTGGAGAATATATCCAGTAATTATATTTACAGAAAGTTTTCTGTAAAGATGACTTTTGTTTAGATTTCTATGTGTAGAAGTTCAGATTTCTATGTGCATAATATCTCTGTTTGTTGTTCTGGCCCTTAACATCTTTTTTCTAGCTAATTTGGGAATCGGAATCCCTCTTCTAGCTAGCAACTTTATAAGCCCAAATATGACGGTTCATCTTCAAAGTGAAAATGGAGTCCTAGGTTTGGTAAGATGGAGGTTAACATTTTCATTTATTATTAAGTATACTGTGGACTACTTATAATTTGTCAGTTGCACCATTTCTAATGTTTTATTTTCCAGTATACATTAACTAGTAATGCAGTGAAATATAGAAAGTGTATATCTAGTTTGTACTTATATAAGTAGTGATCATGGGCATATAGTTGATACTAAATCATTGAGGTGATAATCATGACCATTTTCAAAAATACAACAGTGTTGTATGTCTGGATGAAAGCAGATTCCTACTGAGGTGACACTTCAGTTTCTCCAAGTACCTTAATATCTGTCAATGAATAATCAACTCTTCATTTCAAAGACAAAGGAAATAACTTTTTATAGACTGTTCATAGTTAACAGGCAAAGGGAAGTCCACATATGTAGATGTAATAATTGTCACTTCTACTTACAAGATAATTGTTGGTTTCTCGAAAGTATGTAAAAAATGTTATTGCCAACATTTCCTCATTCTTAGCTTCATTTATGTTCCTTTCTTTTCCTATTTCTCCCTCGCCCCTCTTTAATATGTGTTATGCAATGAAAGTACTTGCTATATTCAGGTAAGTAGAGTTGCCTAATAAAATATAAACAGAATTGCCTGAAGATTAGCTCAGTAGTAGACTTGCATGTTGTGTGAGGCCTTGAATTTGATCCCTAGTATGTACACACACACACACACACACACACACACACACACACACACACACAGAGAGACAGAGACAGAGAGAGACAGAGAAACAGAGACAGAGAGACAGAGAGAGAGAGAGAACACTTCTGGAGGACAGTTGCAAAAGAAAAATAAAAACATCCATATAGAGAAAGATAATAGTAGAACTCCAAATACAAGTGCTTCAGTGCTGCATACTGGAAAAATGATACTACTTTTCCAAATCTTGTTGGACAAATAATGTATCTGTGTAGTTGATATTCATTGATCCTACTGGAAGAATTTAATGAATAACAATGATTGCATAATGGATACTGGATAATTTGTTGTTGTTTTTTGATATGTATGGCTAATAGTGTAATGTTTCTTTCAAACTGATGCCTTTTAGAAAGTGTTTATCTGCCCAGTTACAACTATGAGAAAAAGACTAATTATATGAGAAACAGGTCATGAAAAAATGGAAATATTTTAAAAAGTTCACCTGAAGTCTTTGAATTATAACTTTCTTAGGATTATAGTAAAGTTATTTACCTTAAATTTTGGTATATGAGTCAGAAAAATCTTTTCTTAGTAACTGAATATGTGCTGTTTTTGACAGGGCCCATATCCATTAGAACATGAAGCGGATGCAGATCTAATCAATGCAGGTAAAGTAACTTGTTACGTATTACTTCTTTTGCTATTACTCTAATCAGTGCCAAATAGTAACAAGAATTTTGTCTCAATTCTTTGTCTTGGGGCCGGGGAGATGGTTCAGTGGAATAAGTGTTTCCCTGGCAAGCACAAAGGTCTGAGTTCAATCCCCAGTTCCGCAAAGAAAAACAAAAAACAAAAAACTAATTCTTTGTCTTTTCCTATAAACTGCTCCACTGTATTTATCATGAAAGCTTGAGATAAGCCTTTCTGGTCCCCTTTTTAAATTGAGAAAAGATGAAGAGGAATTTCATAACAAAATGATAAGAGAATAACAATAGTAAATACATGGCACATTGCCATCTTTAAAGTAGTTACTCAGAATGCAAGATACAGTGATAAAATTTCCCCAGTCATTATTAGCATGAACTGCCTTTTTCAATGAATTAAGAAATAGTAATAGTATAGCTATATTGCAGTTTTCTCCCTTTCCCTTTCTTTTCCTTTTCCCCCTCCTGCTTCCTTTTTCCTTTTAAACAATTCTTATTTCACAATGTCTGTTGTACATATTAGACATTATCATAGCAGGGAGACAATATGGTGTTTACACATGTGAGTTTGATGTATTTTCCTTCGGAATATAGTCTCAGTGCATCCATTCACCTATTAAAGTCTCAAATTTACGGCAAAGTATTATTCTATTGTATCAAAATACCAAGCCGTTTTTCTCCATTCCTTAGTTGGTGTGCATTTGGGTTGTTGCCAAGATTTAGCTATTATAAACTGTGTGGCTATAAACATGGGTGCACATACATCGCTGTAGTGTGATGTTTTTACTTCTTCCAGGCAGATAAAGGGGAATCGCGAGGTCGAATGGGACCTCTCATTGAGGAATCTCAATACAGATTTTCACTGCTACTCTCCCACCAACTGTGGAAAAGAGTTCCATTTTCCCCATAGCTGCTCCAGCATTTGTTTTTGATTTATTAATGATAGCCATTTTTTTCCAGGGTGAGATAGGATTTGATCTCTTTTTGAAGTCTCTTCTGATCCAGGGATGGCTAAGATAATGGAAGAAATGTAATTAGAGACATACTTGATAGAAGAGCTTTGATGGGTTAATCCAGGTCCTGCCTATAAATAGAGGACATTCTTGAATGGGATTAGGGATTATTGAGAAAAATTAGGAACATAGCAAAGAATATTCACTCTATTTTTTTTTTTTTTTTTTTTTTGCACAACTGGGGATTGAACTCAGGCCCTTGTGCTTGCCAGGGAAGCACTTATTCTACTGAGCCATCTCCCTGGCCCAAGAAAAATTAAAGAACAATTTATAAGGGCATAGATAAGATTAAGGGAAGCCCAGATTGGATGGTGAAATCCCACAGTAGTTAATACTGTCTGTGAGGCTCAAGGGGCAGTGGTAGAAGAGGGTCACTTAACCGGTGCTTGCTATCACCTTTGATAGAAGAGTACCACCAATTTGCAACAACTTTGGTGTGCTGTGAGGAGTGATTCTTTAGCCTGTGCCTCCCACTTGCCAATCCTAAGTCAAAATAGGTTAGGTATTTCTCATGGAGAAGAAAGGAGTGAATCTATAGCATCAGAAATAAAAATGTGGCAGTAGGGTTTTCTGGGTTTTTTTGCTGGTGGTACATACTACTCTCTAATTCTCTTTGGAATGCAAGACTTCCAAATGCACATAGGTGTGTAAGGGTGTACTCTATCACTAAAACCCAAGCATGTAAGCAAGAGTAGAGTTCAATTCAAGGACTCTAGCTTTATCTTTTCCAGTTTCTGTAAACATATGCTTTGATTTTTATTGGTAGTCTGTTGTTTGGGACTTAGAGTTAATGTATGTACACTCTACATATATTATCTCTGTAGGAGGAAAAAAAGATTGGTCCCTTAGCCATTACCATTGTCTGACCTTGAGACAACACTGCCATCATACTGGGGCTACAGTTCATCCTTGGAGTGGAACAGCCCATATTTTCTGTTTTCTAGCATACTTTTCTGCATTGGTTTTATCCTTTATACCCACAGAAAAGTGTAATTTTTACTTTGCATTCAAAAATAATGTGTGTAAATCTCTGAAGTAACATGAGCTGAACATAAAGGCCAGCTGCCAAGTAGAATTGATGTTTGATACTTGGAGGTTTTGGAAGTAATACAGCTTCTGGTTGAATAGTTGAATTAGTTAACACAACTCAACTCTGAAAGGCCAACTGTGGTAAAGCAATGACATTTAACCAAGGGTGTAATTTAATTGTACTGTACTCTTTAGCAATAGCTCATTGATCTGTGAAAATATTTGCTGCGTGGTTTAATTAATTTATAATGTTAGCGAGTTATTTGTATAACGAATAACTCCATTTTCCAAATTTCAGGCTTCAGTTCGTAAAACCCACTTTCCTTAGAAAAGCAGTTAATCTTTTCAGTGACACTGTTAGATGGTAGGCGTTTCTGATTCCACTGAGCTTCAAAGTAGCTCAGTTCTAATGAAGCCACCAGATTTATACTGCAGCTTTTGAAATGCCACATATAATCTTTAACTACTGTACTTTGTAAAATAAGAATTCATTGCTAATGGGAAGGCAAGCTGAAAATTAGTTTAGTAATATTCTAACTTTCATTGAATTATTTTTTTAACTTTTGATTTTGGAGCTGTACAAATCAGGGGGTTAATAATTTGAATTGTGGAATCTAACATAAGACTTGATGATTTCCTCTCCCTCCCCATATTACCCGAAAGATCATTCCATTTTTTTTTTTTTTTTTTTTTTTTTTTTTTTTTTTTTTTTTTTGTGCATTTAGTATAGGATCTACAGGGTCTCACTACACAGATCAGACTCATAGTGATCGTCCTGTTTTCAGCCTCCCAAGCACTGGGATTGTAGGCACCTTGCCACCACGCCCACTCTCAGTCTCATTCTCAGCGTGCCCCGGGGGCAGGGCTGGCATGGCACACCAGGGATCGAACCCCGGTCCTTGTGTGTCTACCTAAGCAGGTGTTTATATCCGCTGAGCTATCTGGCTGGCCTTTAGTCCATTGTTTATGTTAATTTGAAAGAAATCTCTAAATGAATACAAAGTGTTACATTTTTAAGCATAATCATTGTTTCAAAATGAGAATAGAACTATTTCCAAGGATTCTTTTTCTCTACAAAGAATTAATTAAACCAAATAATGATATCATAAGTTTATATAAAAATGAATTACCTCTGGGGCAGGATCATGTGACTTTGAGGATATTTTTTTCACTTGGGTTTAATCATTTGAGCCTCAAGTGAGATCTTGTTATACAGATTGGGAAGCTGAAGTCCAGGGATGTAAAGTGATTGGGCCCAGGTAACACTTAAGGACTGAATTCCTAAAGTCTCCTGGCTCTCATACTTGGTCTCTTTCTTTATACACTGAGCTACATCAGCTGATGATCTGATGATCTGAGCTGTCCAGCTCCACAGGTCAGTAGTACTGCAAATTCTACTCTACAGATATCGGTACCACATCTGAAGCATTACGGGCCTGCAGGCCGAAGGACAAATCATACAGCATTTGATACCTTTGTAATTTCTTCAGCCAGCCTTTCCAGCTTTGTCTTTCTCTGTGGCATGCACAGACGCCATTGTCTGCTCACACTGGACTGTGGGGTGTCCTCTGACCATGATCCAGTTTTTCCTTACTCTGTGCCTTTGTTCCTCTTGTGTTCTTCACCAGGTACTTCTTTTACCCTCTTCCCATTTATTCCCATCTCCCTACTGGTCATTCATTGTCAAAATGACTTATTTCTGTCCTTTTTGTCTTTTTCTAATCACTCTGCAGATCATAAATTCCCCTCTCTTCAGCCCACAACATATTTAGTCTCTTTCTGCCATATTTGCCTTATAGTTATTTGCTTGTATTTGTCTCTTTTGCTGGACAGTGAGTGCTTTTGCTTAGGGAAGTAGAATAACAGCATCAGCATCAAAAGAGGCTTTATAGAAAGGAAATTCTCAGCCCTATCACATGCCTACTGAAGTAGAAACCTTGGCAGGGCAGTGAAGTAGCACTCTGAAGTTTTGTAAGTCCTCCAAGTGATTCTGATGGCTGTTCACGTTTGAGAATGAGTAGTTTAGGTGGGTGACTTTGTTTGTAACAAGGGCCATAGTAGACATTTACTCATGATTGAATGAATGACCTGTTAATTTATGATCCAAAAGACATGGTAACTGAAACTGAGTTACTCTATTGACCAAATATCATAAAAAGATTCAGATACACATAGAAAAATTGAATCAGATGAATCAATTAAGCATAGCCAAATAAAAGAATGCTCTTTCTTTATGTTGATTGTCTTATTGACTTTAGTTGTATGACTTTTTTCAACCAACTTTGGACATTATAGTTGCGAGTGGGAAAATCAATGTTAGGATATGTATTTTAGAAAGTAGATGTGTTAAACAGGATAAAAATACAGTTAGAGCTAAAACTGCTGTGTGATCCAGTAATTCCACTGCTAGGTTATTGCCAAAGGAAATGAACTCAGCATGTCTGCACTCTCATGCTTATTGCTGCACTGTTCACAACAGCCAAGTGTGGAAACAACCTAAGTGGCCAGCAGCCCAGGAATGGACAAAGAAATAGTCCTACACAGTGGAATTCTATGCAGCCTTAAAATGTTTAAATTTAAAATGTTGACAATGTCTATGACATTTATGACAACATGAATTTAGACAGGTGACTGTTATAGTGAGATACATCAGAGCCAACAAGGTAAATACCACATGTTCTCAGTCATATACAGAATATAAAAATGTTGATCTCATAGAAGTTGGCAGTACAATGGTAGTCAACATTGGAATGGATGAGACAGTGATGGAGGAAGGTTGGCCAGTGTGTATTAAGTTAAACTTAGCTGTCAGTGAGAAGTTCTGGCATGCTATTGCACAGTAGGGTGACCACAAAAAAGAGTAGTGTACTGTATATTACAAAAAGCCAAAAAAATGATTTACCAGGGCAGGTGATATAGCTCAGTAGACTAAAGTGCCTGCTTAGGCAAGCTTAGGCAAAGCGCAGGGACCGTGATTTGATCCCCAGCACCACATGCCAAACTAGCCCCACCCTCAGGGCAGGCTGAGTGGGCCACAGAGCCCAGGTATGATGGCATATGCCTGTAATCCCAGTGCTGGGGACGCTGAAAGCAGGAGGATCATGAGTCCAAGCTGTGTAGCGAGACTCTGCAACAACCAAATACATTAAAAAAAAAAAAAAAAAAAGATTTACTGTGAAGATACTGTACTTAGTAGAAGAGAGATATTTACCCAGATTTGAACATTTCATGATATGTGTATATAGATGTAGCAAGATATTACATGGTATCCCATAAGAATGCATGCTTTTATGTGGCAGTTAAAATGTTTAAATTTAAAATGCTGACAATTAACCTTACTTCAAAAGATGCAATTTATAAGATAGTATATATTAATAGACCTTGATAACCATTTCTATGAAAGCTGTTTTCAGGTCTTCCTTTAATAAATATATGATTCATGAATCATGCAAGGAAAGGCTTTTCCTATATGTAACCAGCCAGTGAGAGTACACTTTGAAAGTCACAGTGATTTAATATCTAGAATACACAGAATAGGAATTTTTATGGTTTTCTCCTTTTTTGTACTAGTTCTTCATCTTTAATACTCTGACCTCCTAGGATTGGTGAGGATCTCGTTTTGTTACATATAGAAGTTGTTTTAGGTCAAGCTTTAGTTGTGCTGTGGCTGTTGTAAAAGCAGAGCCCAGGTGATGCAGCTATAAAGTCCATGTAGGCCAATTACCAAGTGTTATGGTGCTTCCCCTAAGAGTGACAGTTGTAACATAGGTTTGGAGAGAGAAATAATAAAAAAAAACGGTGTCACTAAAAGTTGGTATCATCTTGCAGGGGCGGTGTTGAGTAGTATTGGTGATAAAGTACTCATCTTCACAGGCTAGACCGTTCCTGCTGGGTCTATGTACCCGCTGTGTCACTGCAGAACAACAATTACAATAACAAGGCTAATGTTCCGAGTACCAGACTTAGAATAAAGATTTACATGTATTCTTTCAATCCACCAATATCATGTACCATCGAAAAGTACCTTCTAACCTTAACAAAAAGTGTTTTCCAAAGCTTTTCAGTTTTAGGGTGCTTTCAAAGATGTGAAAACATTCTCATCATTTAGAATCATATTCCTTCGGGGAATAAATATTGCAGCATGATGTACACAGGTTTATTCTACTTACTCTTGAGGTCACAGGGGAGAGAATATTAATCAGGGGTTAACTTTCAGTAAGACTTAAGAAGTGAATGTTTAGTTTGGGGGCTGGTGCTGCTCATACTATTTCTTGTCCTCATGTGTCCTGGAGTTATTCTCATTATACAAAGAAACACAATGGTATAAAGTCTGTGCAAAAATTCTTAAGGACAATGGAAGTGGATTTAATTTGAATATAATGTTTTTCATTGATAGAATTAGAAATTAATGGAGAAATGGTATTTTGAGTTAATGTAAATTGGTCAGAAAAAAAGTCTGCTTCATTCTCTTCAAATTTGCATTTCTTCATGTTTATTAACTATCTCTTTGCTTTAGTGACTTGCTGCAGCATTGGATTCTGAGTGATGTCACTCACCGATCTCCTCCTCGGTCCTGTTAGCATTTTGTAGTGACCTGTGAAGGGAATGGGAGTGACAGGAGGCAACAGATGGGCACATTGGCTGTGGAGACGTGCCAAAGGGTAGCACACTAGGAGTCAGTCTGCTTTTTATGATTGCCTTGCGGGGTAATGCTAAACAATGTTGGTGACAAAATACTTGTTCTCACAGGGTGGACATATACCCACTGGGTCTCCCCACCTGCTAAGCCACTTCATTTTGATAAAGAGAGATTAAAATTTTTGAAAAGTATGAAGATATTTACATGTCTGTCTACTGTGGTTATCTTAGAAATGTAATAGTGTTTTTTTTTTTCCTTTTTCTGTGTGTGTGTTTAGGCAAGGAAACAGTCACTGTTCTTCCAGGAGCCTCTTTCTTCTCCAGCGATGAATCATTTGCGATGATTAGAGGGTATGTAATAATGGAGCCCCTCCTGTTTCCCACGGTGTAGAATGAGCTGAGTCATCGCTGAGCATGTGAGCAGGACTAGAGTGAGACACAGACCCATTTTCTAGCCAAAAAAAGGATCACAGCTTGTTTGGCTTTAGGATGTTAGAAAATTGCTCCCATTAAAGGTTTGGTATTGAAATATCCAGCTACCCATAATGAAAAGACTCCTCAGTGGAAAATATAGCTCAGTGCCAATTCAATTGAGGAACACATCTCTGAGATCTATTTTGAAGACCCAGACATTTTCTTCAAATTGTGTGCTGACTGTAGTTAGTGTTTGCCTTCAGATTGAGCGTTCTTTCTCATTGAAGGAAACAAACTTACCGTGAACATCTGGGCTAGTTTGTCTCTGGTGACTAGATAGGCTATAATTTTGTTTAAGAACTCTTGATGATTTCTATCAGCTTGGAGTTGATCTACTTAGAAGTGAGCTATAGAAAGGGAGAAAGCAAATATATTTGGGGGCATATAGAATCATTTTGATGTCTGCTAATTTCAAGCAAAGAGGACATTAACCTTGTGACATTTGCTTTATATTTTCTTTTTTCCTTTTCCAGGGGACATGTTGATTTAACAATGCTAGGAGCAATGCAGGTTTCTAAATACGGTGACCTAGCCAACTGGATGATACCTGTAAGTAGATAGTCTTTTCTTTCTGGATTACACTTGCGTTAGATTATTTTGAAATATTAAAAAAATAATCTCAAAATGCAATGATAGCACAATAAAATTATAAATAAATATTTTGTATATATTTCTAGTTTGAATCAAATTATAAAAATTAAGTTTTGAGAAATATTTGGCTTTGTGAGTTTACTGTATTGTTAGAGTTAAAAACAAGCAAAGTTAAGACTTAACATAGTATTTTCCTTAGAGAAAGTTGAGAAAATTTGTTTGTACAGGCTAAGTGTAGCCTACTGAAAATAAGATACACTAGACATTTATTTAAATAAGGTTTTATTTCTAGAAAGAATACTTAAGTTCATTAATTTCAGGTCAATTATATTTTTCTAATTCAGTGTTTAAAGTCCCTTCTGAAATGTTTACACATCCCCAAAATCAGTTACTTTGTCTTCTGTCTTGAATGCAAAAACCTATGATGGTTAAATGCACCTCTGAAATGTAGACAGTTTTTGTGTCATAATGACCTAAATCGTGCATGTGGTGGCACGTGCCTGTGATCCCAGCACTCTGGAGGCTGAGGAAGGGGCATCTCAGCGTTCCTGGCCATCCTGGTGCAGAGTGAGTTCAAGGTCTGCCTAAACTGCATAGGAAAACTTTGTCTCTAAAAAGAACAAAAAAAAAAAAAAGAAAAAAAGTCTAAGTCATAGCATAAACCTGTTAGAGTTAGCTTTAAAAAAAAAGTTGTGCTCTTTAAGTTAATACATGAGTGTTATCTATTGCATTCCAAGATATTGCTTTCTCATTACGTGCACGGAAAAGACAGAAGAAAATGTGTCCATGATTTGGAACTTACTTTGGCTACAAGCTAAGCTTTCCTTTTTCACATGTGTGTTTAAGGATTTCTGTATATTTTTCTGCAGTGTAGCTAAAAGGACTCGTAAGTAACTAAGGTTGGTGTACTATAAGTTTCTTTTAAAAATCTCTTGGAAGGGCTGGCCAGATAGCTCGGTGTACTGAAGTGCTTGCTCAGGCAGCAGCTGAGGTTTGATCCCCAGTGTGTGTGCCAACCCCATCCCTGGGGCATGCTGAGACTAAGACTGAGACTGGGCATGCTGGCGAGCTCCTGTAATCACAGCAATTTAGAAGCTGAAAATGGAGGATCACTGCAAGTCCAGTCTGTGTAGTGAGACACTGTACTAAATAAATTTTTGAAAGAATTAAAATCTCTTTTGAGCTAGGGAGATAGCTCAGCGGCTTACGTGCCTGCCTAGCAAGCACAAGGTTCCAAATTTGATCCCTAGTACTGAAAACAATAAAAAGTAAATAAATAAATAAATGAATAAAATTTAAAAATCTTTTTTTTCTTTTTTTTCTTCTTCTTTTTTTTTTTGGCAGAACTGGAGGTTGAACTCAGGCCCTTGCACTTGACAGGCAAGCACTTATTTTACGGAGCCATCTCCCTGGCCCCTCTCTCTCTTTTTTTTTAATCGTTTTTTCTAATAATTTTTTGAGAAAGTTAGATTCATTTTATTTTAATTTTATTGAGAAACAAATAGCAATGAGACAGTTTCAAAACCGATAAGTAGGACAGTTTCAATAATTAGTATATTGCATATTGTTGTCTTCATAGCTGTAATCATAGTACAAGAGGCAGACATGGTATCCTGTCCAAACACTATTAGTACAAATCTTTCTTCTCACTGAATTAAAAGAAAGTAGCTGTATATCTATCCTATTTTGTATATACAAATACAAAATGGTCCTTCATTTATTGTTCAGTTTTGTCAGAGATGGGTATTCCATTACCATTTAAATATTGTAGGTATGTGAATTCAGCAAAATAATCCAATATAGTCCAGTAGTCCATAATAGTAGTGGGTTATCCATAGGACTGGCAATGTCAGAAGTTGTTGACTTGAGCCTTTTATAGCTCAGCATATTTATATGGCTTTACTTTTTA